ATTACATTTTTAATGAACCCATATTTTTATCTATACTTTGCCATGTGGCTTGGTAACTTTTCTCAGTATGGCATGTCCATCTTGCTTTTTTCTGCATATGCTCGGGCCTCCCTCTCTCTGCCCTCCTTCTTTCCAGCATCTCAGTTTGGCTCTTCTGCCTAACCTTATCCTGTCCAGCTATTGACCAGTCAGTCAGCTTCTTTATTAAACCAGTCACAGCAACATATATTCACACAGTGTAAAGGAATATTCTACACAGCTTTTCTTTTTCTTCTTTCTTTTCTTTCCTTCCTTCTTTCTCCCCCCTCCCCCATCTCTCTCTTCTTTCTTTTTTAAATATGGGATCTGGTGATTTGAACTCATGCTTATGTGGCAGTCATTTTTACCCACTGAGCCATCTACCCAGCACCAAAATATATTGTTGAAACCATTTCACCTGTTTCTGTTTGAGCTTATGAAATGCAGGTACTAGAAACTTCTAAATTACATTTGTTGCTTACATTGCATTTCTGTTGGATAGCAGCAGTGTTCTAAAGGTATTGTGCACAAAATTTCAAAAGACAGCTAGTCCCCCACACAGAGCTTATGGATAGAATCTTGCCTGCATCATTATATCAACTCTGTACTGTGCTCTTCAGGTTGGTGCAGAATTTAACACTTAAGGAATTGGTTGATATTGGTAAATAACTTGCCATTGTATTTCTGTGTTATGACTGTTACTAGGCTTTGGTTTTGGAATATTTGGAATATTTCATGAACATCAGCAATACCTTTTGCACTCTGGGACTTCTATTCCCTCAACAGCACATATATCCATATATATGCTTACACCTTCCATCTCTGTAAAATTGTGGTCAGCAAATATTGTTTAGGTCAATACTCAGTGTTTACTGTCATGACTAGTAATGTTAGTTATAACTGAGCTGTGCGTGTTAAGTACTCTTTTCTTTTTCGCACAGGTTTTGTTTATGCTAGAATCAGTAATTACACAGCTGCTTAGATTTTCACACGCCTCTCCTAAGTCAGTCTCATGTTCTTTACCACTTGTCTGAAATTCATCTCCATGTGTGTGAATCACACAGGATGTGCTGTTCTTGGAGCCCCAAGACCCGCCTGTCTTTTGTAGTGGCTCCCCTTTATGTGTTTAGTAGTCACACAGGGATCTGTCTCCTTTCAGGATCCTTAGCTTGCTTCAGCTTTCTTTCTTGACTTTCCATTTCTTGCTTCTTCCTCTTTCTTGGTTAATTTCCTCATTTGGAAAGTGCATCTTAGTGTTTCCTGAGAAAGAATACATGAACCATAGCAAATTTTAAAGACCTTGCATGTCTAAATATGTTTTATTTATTTCCTTATGTTTAAATGCAATTGGAATTTGGAAATAAATTTAGAATATTAAAGGTATTTTTCCCGCCGGGCGGTGGTGGCGCACGCCTTTAATCCCAGCACTCGGGAGGCAGAGCCAGGCGGATCTCTGTGAGTTCGAGGCCAGCCTGGGCTACCAAGTGAGTTCCAGGACAGGCGCAAAGCTACACAGAGAAACCCTGTCTCGAAAAACAAAAAAAAAAAAAAGGTATTTTTCCCTTGTTTTAGAGCTTCTAGGGCTAGTATGGACAATTTGGATCAAATTCTGGCACCTAATTAATTCTTTGTATTCTGTATCCTAGTCCCGACTTTTTTTTTTCTACCTAAAATTTCACTATGAAATATGCCAGGCAAGGGTTCATTTTCATCTGAATTTTTATATGCTAGCTACTCTGTTTTGGCTCTTTAATTCTCTCTTTTCATCATTTCCATTTTTGCTGGTTTCTGAGAAATTTACTTGATTGTCCCACTCTTCCAGTGATTTTTTTTTTTTTCATTTCACCTATCATAGTTTTGGTTTGTTTTTTTATAAAACTTCTCTCTCATTTAGAAGGGTTTTGTTTGGTTTGGTTTTCTTTCATGATAGGATCAGGGTGAGTGATTTCTGGTTTGTGTTTGAGCTGGAACATTAAAATGACTAGAATCTTTGGGGGTCTCTTGGCTGTGTTCTTGGGGAACCTTGGATGTCTATATTTTTAGACCTCCTGTTTTATGTCAGCTCAGTTCCCCAAACTGGAATGTTTCAGTCTTCATTTGGGTCATCTAGGTAGGATAGAGACACGTGAACTTAAAAAGCCTCCACTCCCTATGTGCTTGTGATTTTCTAGACTAGAGATCTTTGGATTGGATAAAAGGGATTGTTTTTCTTTGTGAGATCCTTATGTTGTTTTTGTTTTGATTTTAGCCATCCCTAAGGATATAAAGTGGCACTTTAGTGTAGTTTTAATTTTCATTTCCTTGATGGCTAATGATGATAAACATAGTTTCTTTATCAGATGTATGATAAGCAGTTTTTTTTTTTTTCATTCTGTGAGTTTGTACTGTCTAGTTTTAAGCAGATAGCTCAGTCGTAAAGTACTTGATATGCAGACATGACTTTAGTTTGTATCTTAGGTACCATTATAGAAACTGGGTGTAGAGGTGGCAACATCTGTAATCGCAGTGCCGGGGAGGCAGACATAGATGCTTAGAGCTCATTGGCCTAAACTAGTTGAACCAGTTAACTCAGGCCAGTGAGTGTTCAAAAGATAAGGTAGAGAGGGATTAGTGGAGACTCCTTGCAAGACTTCTGGCCTCCATACTCACGTACTCATATGTAGTTGATTTTTTTACTCTTTGGGGGCCCGCCACCCAGCTCCCAAATAAATACCCAGAGCCTTATTTTTACTTATGATTGCCCAGCCTTATATTGGCCTGTTTCTAGACAGCTTTTCTAACTTAAATTATCCTGTTTCTCTTTAACTACGTTTTGCCTCTAAGCTTTTACCCCCCGCCCCCAGAGCTGAGGACCGAACCCAGGGCCTTGTGCTTGCTAGGCAGGCGCTCTACCACGGAGCTAAAGCCCCAAAACCACTTTTACCTTTCTTTATTCTATATATCTTTCTTTCCTTCTTACCCCATGGATGGCTGTGTGGCTGGATGGCTGGCCCCTGGAGTCCTTCTCTCCTTCTCCTTTTCAGCTCTTTCGTAGACTAATCAGGTGTTTTAGGCAGGCAAAGTAACACAGCTTCACAGAGTTAAACAAGTGCAATGTGAAAGAATGCAACACATCTTTGTGTCGTTAAGCAAATATTCCACAGCATAAACAAATATAACACATCTTAAACTGATATTCCACAACACCCACATGTGCATGCTCACACACATGCACATACCCAGAGGAGTGGGGACACACACTACACATGAAAATCAACAATAAAAAAATCAAAATAAAAAATTATTAGCATGAAGATCAACAATAAAAAAATCAAAGTAAAAAATTAGTAGCTAAATGATCATGAAAATTTATAATTTATGTTTTTTTCTAAGAGTTTTATAGTTTTCGCTTTTACCTTTAGGTATTTGGTGCACTTTGAGTTAATTTTTGTATGAAGTGTGATGGAAGGGACAAAGTTTATTGCTCTCTGCATATTGTCCTGCCACCAATTGTTGGAGAATTTCTTCTCCATCAAATTCTTTTGACACCCTTCTTGAAAATCGTGTGGCATCGGAAAAAAAAAAAAAAGAAAGAAAGAAAGAAAGAAAGAAAGAAAGAAAATCATGTGGCCATAAGTAAAAGTCTGTTTTTTGCATTCTTGATTTTATTCAGTTGATCTGTATGTACATTTTAATGCAATGCCATGTTATGTTGATTGCTTTAGTTTTGTATTAAGTTTCTAAATGGGGACACATAAGTCTTCTGTGTTGATTTTTCAAGATTGTTTTGTGTACTCATATGCCTTATATTTACACAGATATTTTAGGATATGTTTTCAGTTTTTATAGAGAAGTGAGTTGGGATTGGATACAGATTGCATTGAATTGGTAGAATCAGTTTGGGGGATATTGCTATCTTAATGGTATTAAGTATCCTAATCCATGAGTGTAAACATGAAGTATATTCCTGTTTACACAGGCTTATTTTTCTTTGACTTATGGCACTGGTAATTAACAGTGGGGACTTGCTCATGCTAGGCAAACACTCTGCCCCTGAGCTAATTTGCTTAGCTCAGTGTTTAATTTCTTTCAATAATGTTTTATGGTGTTTAGTATACAAATATTATACTTCGTTAATTATATTCCTTCATATTTTCTTTCTGCTATCAGAAATGCAATTATTTTTATTAATTTCACTTTTAGTATTGTTCTTTACTGGCATGTCAAAATACAGTGAATTTTAAAACAATGGTCCAATTATCCCACCAGCTCTCCCAAAGTTGTTTACTAATTGTAATAGATTCTTTGTGTATGCGTGGGTATGAAAGAGGAGAGGATGGGAGACAGATGAGAGAGAAAAAAGAGGAAGAGAGAGGAGAATTTTCTGTATGCAAGAGCATGATATTTGTGAATAAAGTAGTTTGATCTCTTTCTTTTCTGGATGCCCACTTCTTTTCCTTACCTATTTGCCTTTTAGTAGTTTTGAATAAAAGTGGCAAGAGAAAGACATTGCCCTTTGCTCATTGTAGTGGGAGGATATGTTTACTCATCATATATGATTTTAGCTGTGGGTTTTTCTCTTTTAAAGTATTGTATTAATTATTATTATTGTTTGGGATGTGTGTGTGTATGTGTGTTTGTGTGTGTTCTAGGAGTTGGTTCTCTTCTTGTATTGTGGATTCTGGGAATCAAATCCTATAATTAGATGGCATATTTTATTGATTACTTTTTAGATGTTAAGCTACCTTTGCATTCCTGGGGTAAATATAACTTGGTTATAAACATTTGGTGGAGTACCGTAGGGAAGCTATCTAAGCTTGTACATTTGCTTCTAGTCAGTTTTTAGGTTACTACATTAACATCATTTAGTTAAAGACAATTAGAATTAAAATTTTATCTCATACTGCTTACTGATATTTTATTAAGCCAGGTGTTCCTTATAACATCCCCCAAAGAGATATTTTTATATATCTAACTATAGCTTTCTTTTTTCTTCTCTGCAGGTTCAGTAGCTCGTTTGGAAATCAGTAAACCATGGCATCTAAGAAATTTGCCATTAAAGTAAGTAATGTTCAGCAGCTGTCTTTAAAAGTCACTCTCTTTGTCATATATGAGTTCTGTGTTAATTAAAAGTTGAAGTTCTTAAGTTGATCTCTACTTTTTAAATGTACAATTATGGAAAATTTAGGTTAGTTAACATCAAAATTTTAAGAAAAGATGGGTGAGAAACCTAATAATTTTTCAAATGATAAGGAATTCTTTGCTTCAAATCTTTTGTGTAGGATCCTGTTTGGTTGTAACTTTGTCCCTAATGCTAATATTAATCATTCACATTGCATCTCCATGGTGTGACTTCTGAGGATGACAAAACAGGCCAAAGTCAAGGGGCAGGCAAAGCTGTTGTCCCTGGGTGCATGCTGAGAAAGCGCTCCTGCTTGCCTGCAGCCTCCTCAGCTCTCATTGTCAGCTTTACAGAGTAGAGTCATCTGAGGAAGGCCTCAGTGAGGAGCTGTCTAGATTAGATTGGCCTGTGGACATATCTAGGGGACGGGGATTGTCTTGTTTATTTATTGATAAAGGGAAGCCTTGCCCATGATGGGCAGCTCTCTATTTCTAGGCAGGTGGTTCTGGGCTAAGAAAGTGAGGTAAGAAGTGAGGTAAGCTTGAGCATGTGAATAAGCCTGTGAGAAGGCTAATGGGTGAGCCAGCAAGGGATGTTCCTCCATTGTTTCTGCTTTCAGCTCCTGACTTGAGTTCAGGCCCTGGCTTCCCTCAGTGTTGGGCTGTGATCTGGAGTTGTGAAAGAAGCCTTTACTCTCTCAAGTTGCTTTTGGACAATGCATTATCACAGTAACAGAAAGGGAACTAGAACAACTGACTTTTTCATTTTCCTCTTATAAATTTGCCATCTCTATCCATTCATAGTAGAGCTCAGAGCTTCTTGAGTATAGTGATAAAGGGTTCTATGTGGAAGAAGGTCTGCAGAAGACTTGATAAATACCTTGTGTGAGCTCTTGGAGGTACTGTCTTTTATGTTGGCTGTTCTCCTGGTCAGTTCTGTGTAACACTGTCACTATCTTCCAGAGCAATTAAAAACACAGAAGCAGGGCCAGTGATATGGCTCAGCAGGTAAAGGCACTTGGCACAATGCCTGACTATCTGGGTTTGATCCTTAGTTGTATTCCTAAGACCCAATGGTGGCAGGAGAGAACCAATTCCTGCAAGTTGTCTGGTCACCTGCCTTGCACACACACAAATACATGTAATAATCAAAGCCATTGAAGAGAACTCTTAAAAATTGTGATAGGGAAGCCATCCCAGTTGATGGCTTCTGGCAGGGGTAGGGGTAGGGAAGGACTCAGGTTTTTGTTATTTTATTTTTCTTTAAGAAATTTTCTACTTCTCATGCTATCTACAGACCCCCCCATCCTCCCTCCTCCCACCCTCCAGTCCTCTTTCGCAAGCCACCCTGCATCCCCACATCCCCCAAATCGAGGTCTCCCATGGGGAGTTAGCAGAGCCCAGCTCACTGAGCCTAGGCAGGTCCAAGCCCCTTTCCACTGCACCAAGGCTGTGCAAGGTGTCACACCACAGGCACCGGACTCAGTTTTTTTAAGGGGCAGGCCACTTCAAATTTGACCATGCTCCAGTGAGTATATAGGCAACATGAATTGGACTTGATATTGTTTTTCTTGTTTTCTTTTGTTTTGGGGACTGTCACAAGGGTGTGGGGGGGTGGACCTGGAAGGACCAGGAAGTGAATGAAATTATGTGAAATTTCCAAATAATCAATAAAAATATTGTTAATAAAACAGCTCAAATTCCAGTATTTGGTTAATCAGATTATGAAACAGTGTAATATGTCATTTTATCTTATTATTTATAAATTTTGTTGTTTACAGTTACTTCTGGTGTGCATATACTCTTGAGTATTTCTTTCATAAGGGTGTCTAAGTGGGGAACATTCACTGTTTGTCTATCAAATGTATTTTGATCTTCGTCTAGATTTCTAGAATCTAGAACGCTATTAAATTGATTTTAGAATGCTAGTTTGAACATTATTTTACTATGTAGCAAGATTCTGTCTCAAAGGACAAAAGGAAATACAATTATCCGGTGATATATGCCTTTAATCTCAGCACTCAGGAGGTAGAGGCAGGTGGACGGATATCTGTTAGTTCAAAGCCATCCTGGTCTGCATAGTGAGACCCTGTGTTTGGGGGTGGGGGTAGAGGGAGGGAGAGAGAGAGATTGAGATTACTGGCTTAAAATAATAACTTAAAATGATCTCGTGTTTCTTTCCTGACTCTGTACAGGTGGTTTCTCCTTTTGATGTTAGCTGGGACTGCAGTTATTAGGGACATCAAGTGTGGCATCGTCATATGGCAAGCGCTCGTTGTTTGCTGTTTTTTTTTTTTTTTATCCCCATGGTGGTTGGCTTTGGCTTCGCATAGGGACTAGGTACAGAAGCCCTAAACAAGAGTTATAAGTACGGAGCAGTGTAATTTGCTCACTCTCAAAGGCCTGGATTTAAGTCTCAGCTACCATCCCAGTTGGCATTCTGTTAGTCAGAACAAGGACCAGGCCAGAGGAGGGAACTTGATTTGTGATGTGGGAAGCTCCAGAATGGAGAGATGTTGGGTTACACCAGAGTCTAGTTGTCACAGAAGTCTCTTGACAGCCTAGTATGTTCAGTCTCTTTCTTGATGACCTAATAGGACCAATCCTTTTCTTTGGTATTTGTCCTTTTTCTCTGCTGTCTCTTAAGATGTTATTTCTGTCTTTGCTATTCTGCAGTTTAATTCGAGACAAATTTCTAGGCATAGATTTATCGGTGTTGGAATGCAGTATAATACATTCAGTTTTGAAAAATTCTCATCCATTTCTCTACCTGGGATTGCATGTCCTAATTGATTCTGTTCTCTTTACAATTTATATTTGAAGTTTGCTGGGTAAAGTCATGACTTGCTTACAGGTTGAAAGAATGAGATTGACCTGTCTAAGCCTGTACCTTAGCAAGCTCTGGGCTCTAAAATGGACTAGGCTCTTTGCAGAGTTCATCAGAAGCTTTCTGAGGCTCAGGAGGACACCTAACTTTGGTCACATGTCAACCCTAGAGCTTTCATTCTGTCCAGAGATGATATGCTGACCCCCCTGCTGTACACACTGACACAGCTGACTTTGCTACCATATTACTCCATCTCCCAGCTGTGTCTGAAAGCCTCGGAACCCAGCTTCCAGGTCAGGGGTGTTACCATAAGCATGAGTTTCAGGCTTGCAGACTAGCTACAGAAACTGGTCCAATCCATAGTGATCATGTTCCTCCTGCCTCTGATCACACATGCAAGTATCTAGTTCCCTAACCATGGCGTTTAGCAGCTCACAGCCCATTCCCTTGGGTTCCTTTTCTAAATGTCTGACACAGAGCCCTTGTAAAGTAAGTGGCTCTGCTCTGCCCCAGGGTGTCATGCCATTGGTGCTGTCACCATATGCCTTCTGCTGTGGACAGGTCCAGGAGGTGCGTATGATGCACAGCCATCGACTTGTCCTTCCCATTAGCTCAATGCTTCTTTCAGCGTGCCCCTCCTTCCTTTCCAGCCTGCATATCAACTTTTAATTCCAGAGTGTTTTTTCATCATGCTTCTTCAACTTAACCAAAGTCTTTTCATCTGTATTTAATGTGCGGGTAAAAGAGAAACACTCACACTTTGGTGTGGAAGAGGTCAAGCCAAAAGGTGTTAATTGAAAAGGATAATAGCTGTTTTAATTTTAGTAATGATATTTTTATTTACAAATTTATATTTTTCATTTTTTAAAATTCACATTCTACTAGTTCTTGTATGCTTGCTCAATTTTTAAAACGATCCCATTTTCTCATCTTAATGTAATAATTCTACAATAATTTATTTTATAATTGCTTTTAAGTTTCTCTGTTATTTACAATATTACATACTAAGTATGAAATAACTGGGTCAGTTAAATTGCTGCATTGTTTGTCTGACATTAATATTTCTATTCTAAGATGAGGCCTTTCTGTATTACCCAGGCTGACCTAAAACTCATGATCTTCTTACCTCAGCCTCAGAAATGCTGACATTATGTTTGTGGTTTTTGATATTGTATATAGCATTATACACATGTATTCATGTATACATATTCCCCCCAACATACATGGGTAGAAAGATGTGCTCTGAAGAGCAGTTGAGTAATTTTAACCTTATTTCTGCTGAGGCCATTGGCGTTTTATTAGTTTACTTTCATGGCTCAGGGTTCTACTAACCTGTGGATAGTACACATTTAGAACCCACAGCAGAGTTGGGTAGAAAGGTTTTTATTTTTCATTTTTATTTTGCAGATATAATTTATTTCCTTGATGTTTTTTTCCTCCCCCTCTGTTTCCAAGGTTCTAGATGGATGGAGCCACTGTTCACTGGTCACTTCTAGATACAGAGAAGAACAGTTTTAGTTACATTTTCACAAATGTCCGTCACTGTTTCTCAAAGGAATGAAGTGAATAGCTCTGACCCCAGAAAACTTATATCCTTAGTTATAGACAAACTGAGCTTAGAAGTATTGTCTACGGATATGTCTACGGATTGAGTATTCGTATGCTAAACACCGAATTCTGTGATGGAAGGTTACACACATCTACACACAGGAAGTTTTCTTAATTCCAGGCGCAAAGGAAGTGGCTTCAGTTCTAAGTCCCCCCTTTTTGTCAGTGCCCCTAGGGCATTATGAGTCCAGCTCTCCATCTTCCCCTGTCTTAATCCTGGTTCTAGAATCCCTGACAGCCAGGCTTGTATCTCATAAACCCATGGTTATTGGTAGAGCTGTGGGGGTTTGTTGCTTTTAGTGTTATTTTCAGAGAGCCACCTTCTTTTCCTGTCTGCAGTGAGCTTGTTTCTGTTTCTTCAGGTTCTTATCTGTATTCTTTCTTTTCTTTACGTAAGCCAAGTTCTTAAGGCAGAAGCCTAAGCTTTTGCCATCAACCCCCCCTTTTTTTTTCTTCTGTTGCTTATACTTAAAGCTATACGGTTCTGTCAAAGCATTTCCTGCTT